ATAAACTGTAAAATAAAAGATTGCTGAACTTATCTACAGTATTCAAAGGAGGAAGTGAAAACAGCATAAAAAAATATGATATGATGTTGAAGATTTTTAACTAACCAGAAAAACAAACTTAGCAAATCACTGCAACCAAAAGAACTGACTATATATCTAAGCGAGCTACCAATCTTGTGGTTCTAAAGCATAAGCCTAAGTTGAGTTTTTGAAAATCACTTTGAATTAATTGTCTGATTAAATTCAGACAACAAACGGTTCGTACTGAAATTACAAACCATCATTCATAACCTAAATTGACAGTCTGAGTTCTAGGCTGGCATTAGAATTAGTTGTAAGACATGGTAAGTTAATAATTATCTTAAATGTTTCAAAGTATATTGAAGGTTATGGCGATATCTTTTTACTGTGAAAGGAAACAACTACAGGTAAAGAGATTTTTTTTTTGAAAAAACGACTTGATATACCCAAATTAATCTTAATTTTGTTAGCAATACCTCAAGTTGTAACCACCATGTGAAAACTTAATAAATCAAAAAAACCATCCGCTTATCACTCGCCTTGCCTTGGGTGTCTTCTACAAAAAAAACTCAGATCAATTCGAACCTGATTTGCTAGAATATAAACAAATGAAGTGGGAACATAGCTATGATCGGGGCTTTCAATACTAGTCATCTTTCAACAAATGAGTGTAAAAACTTTGAAATCCACAATTTTCTTAAATCACTTTGACAATTAATCAAAATTTCGACCCATGTCGGTAGATTATCAATCAAACTTGGGAGTCAAACATTTCACTTCGGGTATTGACGTTACCGTAGTTGAATGGATTGTTTATGCTTTGGAATACAAAATTAACATGAATGCTTTAGATGACTGCATGACTGCAAAAGGAAAAATTCGGTATTCAGCATACCTGATTTTTTGTTGAGAACTCGGGTTATTCTATGTAACTAAAACCAAGTGAAACAAAAAGTAGTGAGAAATTTGAGAATTTGGCGCCAAAATTTTAACAGCGACAGCCTTGAAGTCATAAATCAATAGGAGACATAGTTATACGCAAAAGCAAATGATCAAAAAATTGTTCCTATATAGGGTTATTTAGTGCATTTTGCAATGGTACAGCAAAAACCAATAGTAGTAGAAGAGTGAGCAGAGGTGGGGGGGGGGGGTGTCCTTGCAGACCTTTGAGTCTTAAGATAGGGAATGGAACACCCGGTCTGTAAGCAATGTATTAAGATAGGTTATAGGTTTTGCCAGAGTTTTGAGATGTTAAGATGGTTAGTTTCAGAAAATTTTCTCGGCACCCGATCTTACCATGTATTAAGATAGTGTAT